CTTCCAGAAGTAAATGCCGCTCTAATTGAAGGAAGGGAAAAAAGAAGGAAAATACCGCTACACTTAAGACACTTAATAGGCGGTGCAGCAGCCAAGCATTGTCACTGCATATTTTTCTAATGTGTTACCGGACTTCCTAGTTTATCGAAACTCAAATGAAGAAGAAAAAGAAAAAGAAAGCTTTTGGAAATAAAATTAATAAAAGATTAATCTTCGTAGATAATAAATGAGACAATTTCTTTATGTGCAACTGCTATGTTTTAATTAATGTTGTAATGTAGCTGGTAATTTCAGAATGAGATTGCTTTTGCTAATTGTTCTTGTTTTATTGTATTATATATACGAAAACCAGGGCAACCCGATAAAGCTCGGCTTTTTTGAGTTTTTTTCTGAAGGTGATTTATTTAATTTGCCTCAAAGTGAACATGCCATCCAACATGTAATAGATAGTTTTTAGCTATTTAACTTAAAGACTCCCCATGGCATCGAAGTTCAGCTTAAGTAAACCTGTACAATTGCCGGCTTTCAGCCACACAAAAATATATTGGTGGCTTATACTAGAGTGTGGCTAATGCTCGAGTACAGTCTATACAACAAAAGCTCATCAAAATACCCTACATCAAGAACAGGGTATAAGCCAGCAAGACTTGTCGATCCACAAAAACCAAAGCCCTGCCATGCATAACAAAACTAAGCCTACTGATGAACAACACAACCTAGACAATATATTTCAACACAGATTTCTTGCAAGCCAGCAAGCTAGCAAAAGGTGCCTAAACTTTCTGAGTTGGCCTGCTTATATTAGTATAGTTCCCTATTTTACAAATCCACAAGCTGAAACCAGGCTAATCCTACCTGATATAACCATTTGAATTGTTTTCCCATCCTTTCCATATAGATCTATGGGCATTGATTAGTCAAGAATTATGGGATGCAAAATTTTAACAATGAAACCCTGTAATTTGATTGACAACAATTAATATGATAAACTTTTTTTTGAATAAATTACATAATATTTTTAAATTTTAATCATAATTTCATATGGGTTCATTAATTTTCAAAATGAATATTCTGTTTTAAACATGTAAACTACATTAATGCTTAAACGTGAAATGTCTAAAATACTTTTTTTTTTTTTTATACCAACAAGTTCCCTTACACCAGACTTGTAATTTGATTGATAAGAATTACATAACACTTTAAAGTTTTAATCATAATTTCACACGAGTCCATTGCTTTTCTAAATGAACACTTAGTTCTAAAATATGTAAACGATGCTAATACCTAAACGTGAAATATCTAAAATACTTTTCTTTTTTTTCTTTTCTCTTTGATCTACCAACAACGTTCCCTTACACCAGTCAGCCACCTCGTGGCCAGATTTGACAGTGAAATGCCAGATCTGACTAGATCTCCCCAAGGATGCATGAAATCGTGCTTTTTAGCACCGATTGGGAGAGCACAGAGCATCAAGATGCACACCTCATGGCAGAATTTGGCACTCCCCGATTAGATCTGGTAATGAAGTGGTTGGTCGACGAAAGATATGATAATTTTTTTTTTAAATGTATAGTTTGGTACTTTTAGAAATTAATTAGAAATAAAATTATACTTTCAATATTATCATATCATCAAATACATTGAAATATTAACGATTAATTAACAGTTGAATTTATGTGTTTAGTAAAAAATATTCTTTTAGAATAGAGTGTTTATTTTAAAAATTAATAAATTTTTATAAAATTATAATTAAAAGTTATAATTATTAGTATATTTTATTTTTTTTTCAATGAATTCTCAGTATTATATTCATAAGAACCTCTTTGTTTCCGTATGGATTTTGACACCAAACGAACATTCTCGGCTTTCTCATGACTACTCAGTTTAATTATCAATAATGGGCTTTGCCACCTTAACTAGGCATGCAGAAGCTGAGCAACTTGGATAGGCTTAAGATTTACTATTTCCTTGGCCAAGCAAAGTTTTTATTACTCATACCCTAGAAAAAAATAGAAAAGAAAAAGCAGAGAGCAATCATTTCGTGCAAGTTGGTTCACCCATCACCTTTGATAGTGGCAGTGCCCACATGTTACGAAAATCAGGGGGCTTACTCTCCTTGACAAGATTACTTAGATAAAGAGTCAGATTTATAAGAGAAGGCTTTAATTAAATCCTTGTAAAGATTACACACCCAACTAGCTATGCAACACAGCCGTGCACCCATTAAAAAGTAAAACGCGTACGTCCACATCGCTGCTTCCTGATATGGTTAATAGGGTGTACGTGTAACCATCCAAGAACAACAGATAAATTTCGGCTTCGTTTGTCTCGCTCAGCATCAGCCTCTTGGCGCAAGATTTTCTTTGGTGCCCTCTGCACTTTCGATGCTAGCTGCCAGGCTGGCGACTTTCTGCCAAGGCACTGGTTTTGCCTGCCTGCCTACCTACTCCACTCTATATGGTAACAAGTTGCAGCTGTCATGGGACCATTACCCCGCAAGTGACTCTCTTGCCAAGGTATTGGTTTTGCCTGCCTAGGTACGCCCGGAAACAAGGTGCAGCTATCATGGGATCG